CCTTCTAGAACTTTCGTGAATTGTCGGGTGACTACTAGTTTGGGGAAGTCTTCAGTGGTGGGATTCAAATATTTTAACAACAGGTTCTCTCACTAGCAGCATGTAAAAATTAAAGTAAATTTTCCCAATAATGCTAATTTTTAAATAATCCATATTTTATCTATCGTTTTCACATCTGTCATTTATATACTAGTGTTAAACTGACTTATAGAACAAATAGAGATCACGCACATTACTGCTAAACTTCCTAAAAATTTGAAACAAAAGGTCTCGGAGGTTTATACTGTTGCGTCAGCGAGTCACGTGACTACTGTGACGCAACGTTTCTAGAACTATCATGTACTTTGGCGAATGCTCTAGTAATGACTAGATATAGGGTAGGCTGGTATATAAAAGAGGGGAATGTAATGTCTGTGTAGATAGTGAGTAATTGAACTGCAGTCAGAAGTATTATTGACGTTCGTTGTTATAGCGTTTGTTTAGCGCGATTGTTGAAGTTGAGTGTATCGGTAAAGTTATATTCGGAAAGAATAAACCAGTTTTATTAAGTAAAGACTTGGGTCGCTTAAGTTTCGTCGGTACGAAGTTACGGAAAATCAATTAACAAACGGAGACGTAACAATATGTTTGAATATAGTATAAATATCACGTATTAAACACACACATATATACAATTTATATATTGTGGGGTAGGAAGTCGATGGAGGGCGCAGATGAAGTGTTATTGTTCACACTTGAAGAAGTTGTCGAAGTAACGGTTGTTTTTTATTTCTTTTAGGATTAATTAAGTTTCATGTTACTGCTTTGTTTATTGACAGGGGTTCAACGAAGGTGTTTTTGAACTTCAAGTGCCTTCAATGTTAATTTTTTTTTACGTTACAAGGTATGGTGTATGTTTAGTTTTACATAATTTCTGTATTTATAATTATATACCAACTTAATTCTATTTCCATGTCAAATTGTCGTCTATAATTATAAAAGGTTTAGGAATTAGACTTACTTTTAAGAGTTAGAGGTTATTGTAATCGGTGTGATTACTATAGACTGTTCTTTAGTATATGTAACCTAAAACTCGGGCTCTAGCTAAGATGCACAGTTTAATATAGTTTTTGCACCAATTGTTTAAGAATACACGGTTTAATGTACTGTAAGTATAAGTATTACTAATACAGTGTTTCCATAATACTAGTAGTGTACTACTAGTACTAGCTTAAAAAGCCATTCATTTATTTTTAAGAGTTGTCACAGGTTTAAATTATTTTTAAAAATTTAAAGCACGTCATTATGTAGAAAACATTCAGTGTAAAAAAAGGATGATTTTCTAACCTGTTCAAATAGTGTATGCTATTTTTAATAGGTTTTATGGGAAGAACGAAAAATCAGCATGAAATTTTCTTTTTTTTCATATTATCATCTTGGACTACTTGAAGATATAAATATAACCAGCCTAGATTCATAATTAAATTGAAAGTCTCTGTAGGAATAAAATGCTGTGTTTTCAATCAGTGTTCCTTCTGTTTTGGATGTACATCCTGCTTTAATTGTAAATCAAAGACAGTTTTATGGTAAACTTAGAAAGGAAAAAGAGACATTATATAAAAAAAAAGTTAGATGATTTCAAGTCATAGTAAAAGTAATAAACTACAGAAATTGTCATTTTGATAGTTCCATATACAAAGAATATTTTCAGGTAAGACCTTTATCATTGCAACCTTAATAATGCATTTTCAGGATGCTTTATTTTTTAATCTGACATAATCTTAGCTTATAATATAAGATTATATATTTGTAATTCAGTATTACTGATATTTTCTGTACTTTTTAATGCTTTTCTTATTAAAATACATAATGCAGAACTTTCTTTTATGTGAGAGCCTTCAATAATTTTAATTTAATAATGTAAAAAAAATATTGAATTCCAAACTTTTGTTTAGTTTAAATTTTTATTTCACTGAACATAACATCTCGGGAACAACATTGTGGCAGTTACATTAATTTCATTGAACACCCATCTGCTTATATTTAGCCGTGACTTTTTAAAGTATTTATTAAGCCTCCTCTTGAACATTCTCAATCTTATTGTATCTACCATGTCTGAAAGCAATTGGCTCCAAAGACTGTCCACCCTGTTAAATACAAAAATGCCTAATTTACAGATGACTTCTACCATGACAAATGTTAATTTTTGTCTAATCCTACCACTGTTAATATTAAACATGGAAAAAAGATGATGCATCAATCATGTGTATTCCTTTTATGATTTTGATCTCTTCAATCAGATCCCCTCTAATCCTTTTTTTTCTCAAGGTAAATTAATTTCAAGTATCTTAACCTCTCCTCATATGACAACTCCTCCATCCCAGGAGATTATCCTACTCCTAGTAGCCTTCCGTTAAACCCTTTCCAAGAACTCAGTGCTCTACTTAGAGTACGAAACCCAAGACTGGACACAAAACTCCAGACGAGTCCTCACCAGGGATCTGTAACAAGAAAAAATAACCTTTGACTTATTTAATTTTCCTGTACATACAACTCAGTATCCTATTTTTGTTCACACTGACAACAACACACTGCCTAGAAGGCATAAGAGGCTGATTGTCCAAAACACCAAGATCCTTTTCTTCCACAACACTATTTAGTTGATTTCCATCAAGATGATAATTATAATTTAAATTAAGATAGGCCACATGCATTACTGTGCATTTAGAATAAAGAAATATCATGTGCGATTTATTTGCTGCTTTTAAAATGTATAGAGAAGTATTTTTGAACTATCGTAAGCTATAACTGAACTACACTGGACTGTAAACCTATCTAACTATTATTATCAAAGCTATCTAAATGTTATTGTCTATAGTGTAGATTGTAATGATCAGAAAGAGGGTTATATGCTTAAGCATTGGGTCATGCTAGCTCCGTTGGTAAGAGCATTTGCTTCAAAACATTTCTAAGTCAGTGGTCCCATGTTCAAACTCTGGTCAGGACAGATTTCTTAACATCCTGATCCACTATGATCACACCCAACTAGTGGCCACCTCATCAATATAGGCCACTTATGCTAATCAAAGGCTGGCTCTTGATTCCCCTCTGAGCAAGTGATGTTCGACTACAGTCGAAGTTCAACACAATAAGTGTGGTGGCATATATAAAACTAGAAACAATAGTTTTGAGTAAAAGTTAGAAAACATTTTAACTGGTTAGGGCCTTGAAGTGTAACTGGTTATTTGAGTAATTGTAATCTTCTAAAAGAAAAACCAATGTATAGATTATATAATGTTAAAAAAATATATACTAGACTGCCAGGATGGAAAAAAACAACATGTAACACATTTGAAGGACACAAACTTTAACATGGAGAAATAGAAAATGAAAGGGAAATTACAATAACAACAATGAAAGATAGAATTACAAGTTATGGTAATAGTTAGAAAACAGCCCAGTCCAGTGGTTCTAACATCACTAACTATTTAGAGATACTTGGATTGAACTATATTCAAATCATTTTAGAGTGTCTTTTTTTTCAGAACAACACTTTAGCAGCTTTAGCTATTAAAAATTTATGTAATTAGTAAACAATTAAAGAAAACACCATAAAATTAAAATGCTTTTTACCACAGCTTACAGTATACTGTTCAGAAAATATTCCAGTAATATATGTTGTTTGATGAAAAGTAATGTTAAACATCAAACTTTACATTCAAACCAAAAGGGCTAATATTTAACTAATTTGATGCCACACACACACAATTACATAGAAATTTAAGTATCATTGTTCCACTGGATCAAGTTTAACAGGACATCCACTGATCTGAATTTTAAGATTTGGAGCATGAATCTTTGAATATTTTATTTGTTTTAAAAACTGCAGAAAAAATGGCATTGTAAAGAGTTTTTAGCAAATGGAATAAATGACCTGTGTGATCAGGTGGTTGTATCTAATCTGTGTATGTGCTTCTACTTCATGTTGAAATATATCTCAGATATTTTTTGCTGAACATGTAGATGATGATGATGCTTATAACCATATGTATTTTTCTAAAAGAATGATCTTTATTTTTAAGTTAGCATTAATTGTGGGTAATGATGTGGAAAACTATCACTGATACACTATACTAATATCCTATAATTCAGAAGGAATATTAATTGGTAATTTTTTTTCTTGCAAAAAGCATTGAACTAGTAAATTAATTCTAGTAAAAGTTATTTTACCTGGAATAATTGAAAACAAAATCTAACAGAAAGTCATTAGATTGTTCCAAATATTAATTCATTTGGTAAAGCCGCTTTATTGATGAATAGAAAAGATTTCTTGGTTTGGAACTGTAAGTAAAACCATCTGGAACCATTTTAGTCCTGGTGTCATTTAATGTTTTGAAGGGCATTTAAACATCATGAAAATAGTTAAGATTTTGGTAATATCTACATACTGTAGCTCTTGAGTGTTATAAGGCTTTCTTAATTATAAAAATGTAAGGTCATTTGGAACATCGACTTGTTGGTTTTTAATTTTGCTCTTAGTATGTAGCTTACTCAGATTGAAAGATATTATTTAGCCTCTTAAACAATAATTTTCTTTAATCCAACTTAAATATACCCCTTCACATCCTAATATCAAAAGAAAAAAAATCAAACAATGCAAACTAACAACATAAAACACATCATTAGATAAACCTTTTGACAAGTTAATAATTCAGACTGAAAAAATAATTTACTTCAAAAACAGAGCTTAGATTATTACTTGTATCATCCAACTTTGTATTTCCAACTTTTTATTACACTTTACAACATAAGAAAAACATATCCAAAATTGTTAAGTCTTTCCTTATAGCCTTAAACTATTAATCACTGTAGTAGCTTGTTTTTGGACACATTCTTTTCATCATTTTGTTGTTGCTTCTGTTGTAAGAGGACCAAAACTGCATTTAGTACCTCAAGTGTTGCCTGACTGGAGTCTTGTACAAGGCTACTATAATTTTCTTGTTTATAAATTTTTTACCATAGTTGAACACTTAAAGGGCTTCTAACTTTGAAGATTGGTCTTGCTCACCCATTCAAAAAGAAAAAAGAAGATAAAATAAATTTTAAAACCCACTTTTTGTTTTTCAGAAGTTCACTTATTTCCCTCTTAAACTGCTGTAAGGTACCAATCTCTACTGCTGCTGACATCAGCATAACCCAATCTCCTTATAAAAAAAATTAAAACTGCCTTAAGTGAAGGATAGTGTGAATTTTTCCAAATCTTAAACTTTTGTTCTATTTTATTCAAGATAAAGTGAAAAGAAATTGTAGGTCTTTATCCTACTGATCGTCTGGGTAGTCTTGTAAACTTCAGTCAATCATCTCTTACACCTCTTTTTCTCAAGAGAAAACATATTATGGGATCATCTCATAAGCACTTTTTGAATTCTATGCAATACGTCAACATCTTTTCTGAGATGCAGAGACCAAAAATGTTCACAGTGTTGTGAGATGACCTTTCTGGTGATTTATTAAAGAGAGAATTACCTCTTTGCTTTCTTGTAATCAAGATGTCTATTTGTACATCTTATAATTCCATTAGCTTTTACACTAGCAACCGAGCACTTCCTTGATGGCTTGAATGACTTATCTATCACTGTGCTAACACCATTTTTTTCAGACACAATATTGAGTGGATTCCCATGTGTGTTGAATGTGCAACTCAAATTATGATAACCCATATGCATCACCTTACATTTTCTATAATTAAGTCACTTGTGAACTATTTTTCCAACATACCATTTGTTCCAAGTTATGTTTCAGTATCTCAGCATCCTCAATACTGCTAACAATATCAATGAGTTTAACATTGTCAACAGACTTTACTAATCATGCCCCTGTGAGTGACATTAATTTAAATGTGGT